CTCTCTCTCTCTCACACTCTCTCTCTCTCACGCACACACTGACACTCTCTCTCTCTCTCTCACGCGCTCTCACTCACTCACTCGCACATCTGTAGATCACCATTGAGTGCACATACACACACCAGTAGCTCCCTATTGGATCGCTGATAGAAACTCATCAGTAGATCCTATTGGAATCTCCCCCTGCTAGTAGCTTCCCATCAGGATCCCATGCCTACGCTCGGTGTTGTGTGAGTGAGGGGAGGGATACGTGCCTGTGATGGAATCAGTTGGGAAGAGGATGTGTTGCGTACTGACACCAGTGGGAGAGTGGGTGGATCTCCAATGCCGCGTGAGCCACCCGATCCCGCAAGGTTCGAGCTCTCTCTGATCCCAGTCCCGTTTACTTCTCCCCAACCCTGTCACCTCTCAGCAGGCTGGACCGCTGCGGAGCTGCTGGGCCTATGGAGGAGGTGCACTGTCACAGAGCCTGTCGATTACAGAGCGAGGCGTCAGCAGGAAGCCGCTGAGATGGAGGTAGCTTTTCACCCTGCACGGACAACAGGACAGTGTGTGACTGTCTGTGCGCGTGTGTGTCTGTGCGTGCACGTGTGACTGTCTGCGCGCGTGACTGTGTGCCCGTGTGCCTGTCTGTGTGCGTGGGTGAGTCCAGAACTAGAGGGGCAAAGGTTTAAGGCGAGATGAGTAAAGATTTAAAAGGGAGCTGAGGGGTAACATTTTCACACAGAGGGTGGTGCGGGTATGGAACGAGCTGCCAGAGGAAGTGGTGGGGGCTGGTACAGTTACTACATTTAAAAGGCATCTGAAAGGGGATATGAGTAGGAAGGACTTTCTTTTTTGGGGGGAGGGGAGTTGTGTATCCGGGAGACGAAGCAGGGTTTCCACGGGAATAACTTGGGAATGGGAAAAGTCATCTGGATGGTTACATGAACAGGAAGGGTTTAGAGGGATAGGGGCCAAATGCTGGAACCAGATTAATTTAGGATACCTGCGTCAGCACGGATGAGTCGGGCCGAAGGGTCTGTTTCCACGCTGTATATAACCCAGACCCTTGCTACCCTCCTTCCCAATTCCCTCGGTTTTAGAGGTGACGGTGCTCCCTCGGACACGGGGAAGAGGAGCTGACTGATGGGGAGGGGGATGGATTCAGCTGACCTCCCTTCCCCATCCCCTTCTCAACGTAGCTCACTCCCGACTGAGTGTGTCTGGCCTGACCCCCACAAAATGTACCTCACTGTCACCAGTGGGATACGATATATCCTGGGAAGGGGTGGGGTGGAGGGAGGGAGTGGTGGGGGGTGTGGTGTCCGCAAAATCACGGTTTGACTTCCCTCAGCGGGCAGGGGTGGGGGTGGTTAGTGAAACGGCACTTCCCGAACCCTACCCCCACACACATTCCCGTCTCACTCGCCCCCCCGCCCCGTCTCGCTCCCCACCCCGTCATTTTCTCACACCTGTTTTGCCCGTCCCTGTGTGTACCATGTGGTGAAAGCGCGGCGGAGGGAGGTGCGCGTTGGCGTGGCCGCTCCCCCTGGGCGCGAACTTAAAAACCCAGAAAGGGAAACCGAAACGCAGCGGGTAAAGGCGGAGAAATGGAGAGGGGAAGAAAACAAAAACAAAAAACAGCCCCTTTTTACAACCCGCTCTGTCACGGGGTCCGGTGGCTGGGCCCTTTCGCTGCTCTTCGGTGCCATCCCACCCCTACCAGTGCCCCCCCCCCTTAACCCGCTGATGCCCTCCTCACCGTGAGTCCTCACCAACACAGGCGCCACGGGCCCAGGTTTCGGGGACCCACCTCGCCGGCCCCCAGACACCGACCCCCCCACCCCCCAGCGCCCACCGACACGGCTCCGCGCTGCTGGGCCCACTCGCTGAGAGCGAGTTCCTTGCCAAGAGGGGAGTGAAACCGAACGAGAGAGAGAGAGAAAAAGAAACGAGAGAAGGAGACAGAGCAGGCGACCCCCAGGCTGTGGCGGCAACTGGGGCCAGGTTGAGGGTGGGAGGTGGGGGAATTCTGGAGGAGGTGGTGAGATTTACAACGGGGCGGACCTGACGGATGGGGAATGTTTTTTATTTTTCAAAAAAAAAACAAAATCAACACCTTTGTTGCTTGGCGAGCTTCTCCACGACTCAAGACTGTGTTTCCTGCTCAACTCAATCCACCCCTGTCATCACTGGGGGTATTCGAAGCACAAATATCTATCCCCCCCATCCCCACCACTCCAACTTTCAAACCTGGGTGTTTGCTCCGGCGAGAGCTTGTTGGAGAATCCCCTACAGCTTGGAAGCAGGCCGTTCGGCCCATTGAGTCCACGCTGACCCGCTGAAGGACGTCCTACCCAGAGCCCCTCCCTCCCCCCAGTCCTATCCCCGTAGCCCTGTATTCCCCACGCTAACCCACCCTAACCCGCACATCCCTGGGCACTATGGGTAATTTCCCATGGCTAACCCGCACATCCCTGGGCACTATGGGTAATTTCCCATGGCTAACCCACCCTAACCCGCACATCCCTGAACACTATGGGCAGTGTAACATGGGCAATCCACCGTAACCTGCACATCTTTGGACTGTGGGAGGAAACCGGAGCACCCGGAGGAAACCCACACAGACACTGGGAGAATGTGCAAACTCCACACAGACAGTCGCCCGAGGGTGGGATTGAACCCGGGTCCCTGGCGCCGTGAGGGAGCCGCGTAACCGCCCAGCCACCGTGCTGCCCTGTTGCTTAGCTTGCTGTCCCATTTCTCACCCAGGTTTCCTCAGCCCCATGCCCATAATAGCCATCCTGCGGGACAACTTTGTACATGCGTTGGGACTTTCACTGCACTTGTGTCTTGGCAGGTTCTGCGGAAGGCCCTGGAGCCCAGTATTGATCAGCTGGCAGGTGAGTGCTGTCCTATCACCGAGTCACAGAGCCGTACAGCATGGAAACAGAACCCTTCGGCCCAACTCGTCTGTGCCTACCCAGATATCCTAAATTCATCTAGTCCCATTTTCCAGCATTTGGCCCATATTCCCCCAAACCCTTCCTATCCATGTCCCCATCCAGATGCCTTTTAAATGCTGTAACTGTACCAGCCCCCACCCACTTCCTCTGGCAGCTCGTTCCACACACGCACCACCCTCTGTGTGAAAAAGTTACCCCTTTTACATCATTCCCCTCTCACCTTAAACCTATGCCCCTCTAGTTTTGGACTCCCCTACCCCGGGGGAAAAGACCTTGGCAATTCACCCTATCCATGCCCCTCATGATTTTATAAACCTCTATAAGGTCACCCCCTCAGCCTCCGATGGTCCAGGGAAAACAGCCCCAGCCTCTCCCTGTAGCTCAAACCCTCCGACATCCTGGTAAATCTTTTCTGAACCCATTCAAGTTTCACGACATCCTTCCTACAGCAGGATATGCCCCCATTGCCTAGTCAATTCTTTATTCTACCAAATGGCTGTGACTGGATGGGTGTTGTCTGCCCCAGTTGGGGCCTGGCATGGACATTTCAAGGGCGCATGTTATCAGACTTCACAGAGTCACGCCGCATGGAAATGGACCCTTCGGCCCAACCAGTCCGTGCCGACCCTAATCCCAAACTAAACCAGTCCCACACCTGCCTGCCCCTGGCCCCATATCCCTCCAAACCTTTCCTATCCATGTACTTATCCAAATGTCTTTTAAACATTGTAACTGTACCCACATCCACCACTTCCTCTGGAAGCTCATCCCACACACGCACCACCCTCTGTGTAAGAAAACAAAATTTCCCCTCGGGTCTTTTTTAAATCGTTCTCCTCTCATCTTAAGAGCATGCCCCCTAGTCTTAACATCTCTCATGTTAGAGGCAAGACACCTGCCATTCACCTTATCTGTACCCTTCATGATTTTATAAACAACCCTTCCACCTCCTACGCTCCAGTTAAAGAAGTCCCAGCCTCTCCCTGCAGCCCGTTACTTGCTAGGGATAGGAGAACGTAGAGGGAGCTTTACTCTGTGACTAACCCAGTGCTGTCCCTGTCCTGGGAGTGTTTGGGGAACAGTGTAGAGGGATCTTTACTCTGTATCTAACCCCGTGCAGTCCCTGTCCCTGGGAGTGTTTGATGGGGGGGGGACAGTGTAGAGGGAGCTTTACTCTGTATCTAACCCCGTGCAGTCCCTGTCCCTGGGAGTGTTTGATGGGGGGGGACAGTGTAGAGGGAGCTTTACCCTGTATCTCTGAGCTAATGTGGCCCCGCTATGTTTTCGCCTCAGTCTCGGTGGAGGAGTTGGAGCCTGAAATCTCTCGGATTCTGATCAAAACCCCGGAGGAGATCGGGTAAGTGCGGAGACCCCTGGGGGAGCTGCCTTCTGTCTCCGTCACACTCGGCAGGAAGGGCCCCGATCACACTGAGTGCCGGGGAAAGAGGGGGGGTGCCACGGATAGGACACGGGGGCAGAGGGAAGTGCACAATGTCGGCGTTGACTATGCCACCCCCTGGGTACCTGGCTAATGGGACCCGGAGTTTAAGGTGGAAAGAAGTCAAGGCATAACTTAACGTATGACC